TTCAGACAAATTCAATATATTTAGTTGTATTTGTGTTTTCTTTTTATTCATTATAATGTTTATGGTTAAAATATCAAGCTTCAATTACATTTCTTTTTCATAAGGGTTTTATCTTAGGAACCATTGCCAATTTATATGAATATATTTTTTATGTAGCTTTTATTCCCTAATATTGGCATCGTCCCTCAAAAATCCTTATCAGTTGGGCTCAATTCAATCTCTCATTGTGTGTGGTTGCATGTGTGTATGTGTGTGTGTAGAACACAGTGCTGAGTGCAAAGCGCTTCCTGGAGGGTCATCAACCAGGGAAATGGGATATTTCTCTCACCAAACTCAATCTGCAGAAGCCGGTGCCGAGGTTCGTCTCCTCATCCTCTTAGTCATGTGTGTTGGTAATTGTCACTGAGAGGCTGAATAGTTTGCTGAATTAAACAAACCGCATACGAGAGTAACCAGCAGAAAACTCTGAATGTTCTTATCTCGCTGCTTTGTCGCTGTTCCTTCCTTTACCTCAGATTGTGTGTTTCTCCTACAGCGACATTGTGATCTCTCGCTCCTGTGTGCCCAAGCCCATTGACCGTCTGGCCAAAGAGGTGGGCCTTCTCTCTGATGAGGTAGAACTCTATGGCAAGACTAAGGCCAAGGTCCAGCTGAATATCATCAAACGCCTGCAGGCTCAACCAGACGGCAAATATGTGGTTGTCACTGGGTACGCAGTCAGTATTTGTATGTTCTTCCCTGGACTATAGCATGTTTTACAGGAGTGAAGTTATATTTGTTTACTGTTTATGGGATAATGCTAATCCCATTTATCAATTTGTACGCAAAAATACAGTGTGTTTAAAATGAAAGGGTAAGTTTTCTAAAGCTATTGCTTTATGGTTACACATATCTATGTTCTGTGAACATGTTCAGTGCTGACAGTATTGTCTAACTGCAGTATTACACCGACCCCTCTGGGTGAGGGAAAGAGTACCACCACCATCGGCCTTGTGCAGGCCCTGGGAGCACACATGAACCTCAATGTTTTCGCATGTGTGCGACAACCTTCTCAGGGACCCACCTTTGGCATTAAAGGTGAGCTTTAGCATAATGCACAGTCACAGAGGTTGCACAGGTTACATGCTGCTGAAATGTGTACAGATTTATGTATCTGTAATTATATCATCTGTCAACAGGGGGTGCTGCAGGAGGTGGATATTCACAAGTCATCCCAATGGAAGAGGTACTGTTGTTTGTTGTTTAAAACTCTGCAAATGGCATAACAATACAAAGAAAGCACACAATTGAATAAATAAATACATCTGTCTCTTTTAGTTCAACCTCCATCTCACTGGTGACATTCACGCCATCACAGCTTCCAACAACTTGGTAGCTGCTGCCATCGACGCTCGCATGTTCCACGAGTCCACACAAACTGACAAGGTGTGTGTTCTGTTTTCTTCAGTTGTTTTTCAAATATAAAAATACTTATTATAAGTCAATGAATGAGTGTCATCCTTTGCAGGCTCTGTACAACCGTTTGGTGCCACTCAGTGGAGGACAGAGGAAGTTCTCCCCCATCCAGATCAACAGACTGAAGGTAAGTGATCACAGTTTGATCAAAAGCTATATATACTTTGACTCAACTCACTGTCGTTTTATGTATTTGTGTAGAAACTGGGCATAGACAAGACTGATCCCTCCACTCTGACTGAGGAGGAGATCACCTGCTTCGCCCGTCTGGACATTGAGCCGAGCTCTGTCACCTGGCACAGAGGTATGAACATCTCACATTTCTCTTAGTCCTCATCACTCTGATGTCTTTAGCTTCAGTTGGTCTGCTCCCTATTGGATTGAGCCATTTACTGTGTGTGTGTGTGTGTGTGTGTGTGTGTGTGTGTGTGTGTGTGTGTGTGTGTGTGTGTGTGTGTGTGTGTGTGTGTGTGTGTGT